CCATTTGTCTTTTCTGTTTCAGTTTCACTTGCGCAGTTTAGGCGTAGCAGAACCGCACCAGAAAAAAAAACATAGCGGGCGGAGAACCATGAACTCCTGGAGGATTTTACAAAACAACAACTAACTACTATAACTTTACAATAACACTACATGTCATGTCATTGTATTATTGCATACATTATATCAATCATTGCAGAGTTTTGTACACTTCTAGTGGTGAGTGGTGAGTGGTGATTGGGCCAGTGACAGTGAGGGTGATGGAATGTTCTCATGTGTTTGGCCCATTTGTTCAATGTTCAACTGACCAGGTTCCAATGGTCCAATATTCCATTTCCATTATTCGAATCATTATTGGGTTTGGTTTACGTTTCAATTAAGTTTCAACCGTGTTTTTTTCCCCACCTGCCAGGTGAGGGTTGTTAGATTTTATCAGAGCTGTTCTCCTCCTCCTCCTCCGCCTCCTCTGCCTCCTCCGCCTCCTTACCTGCCTCCTCCTCGCAGTCCAGATCCCAGTGGACACAGCCGGACCTCCACCGCGAGCTCCAGATCCCAGTGGGCACTGCCGGACCTCAACCGCGAGTTGCAGATCGCAGTGGGCACTGCCGGACCTCAACCGCGACTTCCAGGTCGCAGTGGGCACTGCCGGACCTCAACCGCGACTTCCAGATCGCAGTGGGCACTGCCGGACCTCAACCGCGACTTCCAGATCGCAGTGGGCACTGCCGGACCTCAACGGGAAGAATGTGAGAAAAGATGTCAGATAGAATGTCAGAAGATATGCCAGATAGAATGCCAGAAAGAATGTCAGAAAGAATGTCATAAGATATGCCAGACAGAATGTCAGAAGATATGCCAGAAAGAATGTCAGAAGATATGTCAGATAGAATGTCAGAAGATATGCCAGAAAAAATGCCAGAAGATATGCCAGAAGATATGCCAGATAGAATGCCAGAAGGTATGCCAGATAGAATGTCAGATAGAATGCCAGTAGGTATGCCAGATTAAAGTGCCAGAATGTTTGCCAGATAGAATGCCAGAAGATTTGCCAGATAGAATGCCAGATAAAATGTCAGAAGATATGCCAGATAGAGTGCCAGAAGATATGCCAGAACAGATTGCAGAAGATATGCCAGCTAGAATGCCAGAAGATATGCCAGATAGAATGCCAGAAGATATGCCAGACAAAATGCAAGGAGGTATGTCAGATAGAATGCCAGAAGGTTTGCCAGTAACAAAATGTATAAATGTCATGGTGGGGATAACTCGAAGTAAAGTATTTTTTTAGTAGCTACCATATTCTGCTCCTTTCTCAATTTTTTGCCCCTAACCATGCTGATAAAGAGAAAACTCATAACAACTATATTGAGGAATTGAATTGATGTGTTTCTACTTGTTCTTATGTTTGTCAATGTTTGTTTTTTCTTGAGGTCAAAGTAACACTGTCATCGCCGCCGCCTGTATCCTCCCATTGTTGTGGTAAGCATTATCATCATTACTTTCATAGTCATGTTCACATGTTCATTGATCCATTGCCAATGCTCAGGTTGCACATGGGTCTGCCAGATCCCCAACATGTGGTTTGACTGGTGGATTCAGCTGGTTGCAAATTGTCCATCGTAAGTCCAACTCAGATCAACTAAGCTCAACGACTTGTACCCCTAGATTGTTCAGAACAATTTGAAGATTTGAAGATGGCATGATGTAAGTTTTCTGATATGTTTTGTCGGTGTGAGCTGAATGAACTGGTCTTGGTGTTGGTATACTGGCATACTGGCATACTGGCCTGTTGTTTTGGTGATGGGAAGGTTTTTACTAACCGCCAGCCAGCCCGCTTGCTTTCAGGCCAGTCAAACATTGTCAGCACCATTGTGCGGGTGCCTGGTACATAGTACATTGATAGTTGGACTGACGGTCAAAAACTTTGGTATTGAATTTGAGTCAAACAGTCAAACAGTATTAAAACAAACAGGTCAACATGAGGGACACAACGCGCTTGCTACAATGTTATTGTTTCTGTTTTTCCCAATGGTTGCCTGTCATAGTCATAGTTAGCCACAGGTCCAAACTGTTTAATCCGATCATCATCGTTACAGTACATGTTCCAATACAGACTACAATGATGAATGGTATCATATGTGAAAACTGCAGCGATGATTCCAAATATGCCATCATGATGCTGCCATTTTCATTTCCGAGGTGAACCGAACCACACAACACTTTGGAGTAAGCACGGGGCTCCAAGATTGTTAGGGCCAAGGGTCAAGTCATTTAAGTCATTGAATCATGAATCATGCAGGTATTCAAAATGACAACATATTCAAGATTAAAGATTGAAGAGTCTGGACTCTGGACTAGATTGACTGCTAAGAGTTTGAGTTCACTTTCATGCATGTTCCTGTTCTCATGCACATGTAAGACACAAACAAACACACACTTCATATACTCATGTACTCATGTACAAATGTACACGTAATCATGTATTGCCTTGCTGTAAGGCACAGACACCCACACCTCATGTAACTTGCTATTAGGCTATTACTAGAACCAACTTTTAGTTTTATATTTGCATGTGCATAATTTATGCCATAAGTCATTTGGTCTTACTGGTGATGTGATGGTCTTACTACTCAGTGGCGTATTGAATGCAGTTCTTCTCAACTCAATGTTGTTGTTTTAACGTAAGCTACTCAGCTACTTGACTATTTTACTGCTCCATTGTATTGTATTCCAATGGACAGATTGGCATCAGGATTCAATGATGCATGGATATTTGATATTATGCTTCCACATGTGGATGCAGATAGGATATAATATAAGAAATAAATACAACATCAAACCAAAGACCAATGCCATTGTTTTCGATCACACGCATCATTTGTGATTGGCCTTTGGGTTTTATTGTATTTATCTACATTTTACATTTATGGCTTACTTGCAATTTAATTCAGGAGTAGTTTTGTCTTTCCAAGATTCTGACTCTCTCTCCATCCATATCATGTCCTTTTCTCTTTCTCTATTGCATCTAGGTATCTTTTCAAAATAATTTAAGATCTGTGTTTCTATGAACAAGGCATTCTATGTATCTTTGGACCAATATTGAAAAATTAAAATATCATATTGTGTTCTACTATGATATTATGATATATATATATATTATATATATATGTGTGTAAAAATATTCTGAACTAGTTCTTCTGTTTATATGTAGAGGTTTTTTGTTTTTGTCTAGAGCCAACATCTTTACTTGTAATGGTATAATTTAATCCTATCAAGTTGCTTTCCATCTATCTCTTTCTGAAATCCATTATCCATCTAGTGACCCAGTTCTGGAATTCATTTGTGACATCTGCCTATGTCTTCTCTAGTCTGTCATAATTCATCCAGCCAGTGTAATATGTCAGTAGGTCGTTAAATCTTCACATTTCTGACTCTCTACAGTCGTTCATTCATCTACTAATTTACTGCTTGACCTCATCATTCATCGTGTATGTGTGTAAATTTGCAGATCTATCACTGATCACTGGTCACTGCTGACTCTCGTCTGACTGTCCTGTTGCTTGTCTAAATCCAAATCTCTCTTCTCAACCTATCTCTGTAATAGTAATGTAAAAATAAACAATTGTCATCAGCTTCTCAACACAGATGTAGGTCTCAGCCAACCCAAAGCCCACTTAAACTTTCACAAAAATTGCCTCAGCCTGGCTTTTTTTGGATTGAGTGGGTTTTATTTATGTTTTCTCGATCTTTGAACATATTTGACATGCCTGATTGCTTTTGATCGCATACAGTTATCTCTTGTGTTTTCAGTATAGCCACAAGTAGTATCTTCAGAATGCATGGGCTGCAGAGACATGTGAGAATATGGCGTTGGGTTCCTGTGACTTTCTTGTTAGTCATAATGTGAACATAGTACCTGGACCACTTGTAAATAGGTAGTTGAATTGCATATAGAATTGTATTTTGATAAATTATGTCCATAAAATTGCACACACACATACTTATCAAATACTTACACAATGTATCTTTGTTAGATTACGCCACTGTGTCTCAAGATGTGATGCATTCCTGAGGTGATTGCAGGCTGAATCGACATCTATGATTTGGGACTGTACTCAGGCAAAGTTCACGGAGAGGGCATGTGGTGGATTTTTGGACTTTATAAATCATCTATATTGCATCGGATTTTTGACACAAAACGACTGTTTGTGGGAACAAAAAATCATAAGAATCAAAATTTTGAAATACTATGAAAAATGCACTTTTTGAGGGAAAGTGCCTCTTGGCACAGAATTTGTGCCATGAAGCTGGCTCATGGCGCACCAATTGTGCCATGAAGCTGCTTCTTGGCAGCCATGAGGCAGGTTCATGGCAGCTTTCTGGTGCCATGAGGCAGGTTCATGGCATATTTTTGGTGCCATGAAGCTGGTTCATGGCACAAAATCCTTGCCATCAAGTGGTTCACTGCAAATAGGGCTGCCAAGAGGGTCTTCTTGGCATATTTTGTCAAATTTTGAGTTTGCCAAAATTAATGTATAAACTGTGGAAAGTTCTTCAAATCGACCAATGGGAACTATTCAGTTTCAAATATTATAAGTCCTGAAACCAGTTGTTTGTTAGCATTTGATATTCCTACAACTTCCTGTGGATGACGCTCTGGCCAGGTTTACCATGTCCTCATTGTCGCTGACTGACTGTCAAGGACACTGGATACAGAGTGATTTGGGTTTGGAATGGTTTCGGTCGCTGCATTTAAAGTTCAGCCAACAAATTCAGAGAAACAAATTTTCTTTCGAAAGTGAATGTACGATCCGACCACAATGTTTTTTGTCGCTTTCTTGCTTAGTCAAGAAGTCATAAACTACATACTAGTTACTGTTTGAAACTAAAACTAGAAGTACACATAGATCAGTTGCTGCTTGCATCGCACCACGATGATTGTTGCTGCCATTTGACCATCAGCAGGGGTTACTGCGTGATCAGAAGGCATTGTGAGCACAACCATGCCTTCAGACAATCCCAAAGAGCCACTTGAGAAGCAGAGAGGGCTTCTTATCCATTCTGACTACATAGGCAGGTTCTTGGATCCTAATAATCCAAAGACGGCCGAAGTCAGGAACTTTGCGTGCAGGGTGTTGAAACCCAACCATGAGTTCTACTTGGTGGAGTCAGGGCTGAAAGATTCCAATCGACGTGGTGTGTGGAGAATTTGGGCCAAGGCCATGTTCACAGGCAACACCTTTGTGACGCACGAAAATCTTGAGGAACACTTCTCTCAACATCGTTTGACACGGAAGGAATATGATTCCCTCAGCAGCAAATGGTCCACGGACAAAGGTGGATTCACCATGTGGGGAGTGAAGATCATAGAGACAATGGTCAAGACGCCGATGTATGTTGCTGCGAAGGGTGGTGAGGACTCAGTTGAATCGTTTGCTTCATGATTTGCTGTTCTACTTGTTCCAAAAAAAGGTTAGGCTTTTGCAATTTTTCCTTTTGTTGTGGATTTTCAAGGGTGCAACAGAAACTTTACACTTAGGCTTAGGCTCGCTGTTAGTAGAATTTAGATTGGCACGTGAATCCAGCCCAACAAAACGTTTAAGCTTGTGCGGGGCAAGAGACACCCGCTGAGTAAGTATCCCCAACTTGTGACATCTGGGCTTCTGCCATAAGGTTAGCCAATCAATAGATTAAAAAAAGTTGTCACAGAGCCACATCACCTCCACCCAACCGGCTTTGCAGGAAACTTGGATGTCATTCACATTGGCCAAGACATGTGCAAACATTGACGATGTGCATGCGCAGGGAAGCCCTTCTGTCGCAAAACGTGGTCGGGACAGTCGTAAGCCCCCTGGTGCCCTTGGAGACATCACCAATTTCGTCCATGTGAAGGAGAAGACCCCACCAGTGCCAAACGATTCTCAACATGAGAAGGGTTCATCATCATCATCATCAGCCTCATCAGCTGTGGTACTTGATCCCCCTCCAGCTCCTCCTGCTGCGCATGAGAAGACTGTGCCAGATGACACTGAGGAGAAGCCGATGAGATTTGAACGCCAAGAGCATGTGGAAGCTAGGTCAGCTTCACCATCAACTTGGCCACCAAAGGTATGTTTCAGCACAGCTGAGGAGGCACTGAAACACTTCGAAATGGCAAAGTTGAAAAAAAAGGTCATTTGATCAAGGAAGATGCCAAGAACAAACAAGTTGATGACTTTGACACCCTATCTGACGCATTGGCAGCTACGATGACTGATTGCTACCCAGACCTATTTCCCGATGATGCTCGACGAGAATGCACCGGTCATGATGCTGCATCAGTGATAGGTTTGCGTTTGGACACAGCAGCACTTGAGAAATCTGAGGGCCAACCCGGGAACTTTGAGGCGGGGGACTATATTGTACTGACTAGTTGACAAGACAAGTAATGTGACCAAGACACACTCATGTTGAAGTGACCAGCTGGGCCAACTATTGGGACGGCCAAAAGCCATAAACACAATCGTCATAATCATAAATCTAAATTTACCATATAAACAACAACCATGGACTTTTGAATGCACTGGACAATCCAGTGGGTTACATCCGGTACCCATGCAGGTGTCAGATAACCAAGTTCAAGCTGGTCCTCATGCTCATGCTCCAGACCCAGCGGTTCCAGGTGGTGATGACCCCGGTGTGGCAGTGAGTTCTGGGAAGGGTGTTGACAAAGGCAGTGCAACCCAGCAGCAACATCACCAACCCGGCCAACTTGGTTCTGGTGCTGATATGGGATTTTTTGGTGGTATCAGCGATGACGATGCTGCGGCTGCGGCTGCCCCAACATTGCTGGACCCTTCGCAAGCCACGGCCCCTGCTTCTTTTGCTGAGATTGCCGTCAATCGCACTATCCCTGTGCCTGCCGCCAATACACCTGAACCTGAACCTGACAATTTCGTCAAGGGGCTGTCACATGTTAGGCGCAAGGTTTCCAACATGAAGGAGAACTTTGAGTTCTTCAAGCATGCTGTGGATGAGGTGTGTTCTGATGGTGAGCCGATTCGATCATCATTCCGAGATGGTTTCAAGCTCACAGACAATGACTTTTTGGACCCAGCGGAGTTGCAAGCAGGAATCAGCAACCTTTCAATCTCTACATCCTACTCGGGTGTTGGGGCGCCAGAAGTATGTGCACACTTGCCCAAGAACGAGGTGGAATCCAAGTTAGGTCACAAGATATCATCTCCCGAAATCTACTTTCAGATGGAATATGATGAGGCATGCCGCAGTGAACTTTCTTTGCTGGACAAGGTGACAGATCCTGAACAATCTACTTGTTTGTTTGGTGATCTATGTGACTTCTACGTGGATTCACTTCAGGATGTCGTGAAACATTTGATGCAGAAGCCAGATCTGGCTCTGGAGATTCTTGCAAAGATGATCACAACAGGAGAAGCAGTGAAATCTTCTGCCTATTGCTACAAGCACAAGAAGGTCTGCGAACTGAGTCTTTTCAGCATTCAGCTTTTGGATGACTTGATGATTGTCCTGTCACATACAGTTTGATGAGGTAGAGGATGGCGATGATGAGGATGATGATGATGATGATGATGATGAAGATAATGAAGATGATGAAGATGATGAAGATGATGATTGATGATGATGATGATGATGATGATGATGATGATGGTAATGGTGATGATGATGATGATGGTGATGGTGGTGATCATGAAGATCATGAAGATCATGATGATCATGATGATCATGATGATGATGAGATGATCATCATGATGATGATATTGGTGATGATGATTCATGATAATGATGATGATGATGATTCATGATGATGATGATAATGGTGATGATGATTCATGAAAATGATGACAATGATAATAATGATGATGTTGTTGATGATTCATGATGATGATGATAATAATGATGATGCTGAAGATGAAAGTGGTGGTGATGATGATCATGATCAGGATCATCATGATCGATGATCGATGAATCAATGATCACTGAATGAATGATGAATCAAAACTTGTAATCCTGAGTCCTGTCTTTTTTCATAAAAAGGTAGACTAAGAAATTGATACTCGCAAGATGATGATGTTAATGTGGGCCCTCCTTTCTTGGGGACCTTGTAGTCGCCAATGTCTATGACCCTGGGCCAAGCTATGTACTATGGACACCTCTATGCTGTTGGCACCAAGTTGTGCGTGTCGAATGTGAGGTCGTGACGTCGTGTCAAAACTCTTGTTCCCAGAAACGTATGTTCCATGGACAGCCATGGATGCTATACTTCTGGTCACTTTAAAAAGGGCTTCATGTTCGAGGCGTTTTGTCCAATGACCTCATTCACGCTGAGGAGCACTTTCAAAGGAAATCAAGTTGTGTTTGATGATGGTGATGGTGCTGATGATGATGATGATAGCGATGATGATAATGACGATGATGATGATGATGATTTTTATTATCTTGATCTTGTAGTCTAGTCTAGCCATTCGTCCGCCCAAAGTTGCTAGCACCAACTTTTGCCAACAGCAAGACGAAAAGGTACACTTTACAATGACAAGGCATAGGCATAAGGCATAAGGCAAAATCCTTAAGGCAATGATATGTGCATGCCGAGTCTGCTTTGGATCTGCCTTTGTCCTCACTGCTCACTTCCCAAAGGTCACATTAACACATGAGTCGGTTTTGTCGAGTTGTTGCTGAGATGTTTGATCTTGTTGTGACTATTCTTGTTTATGGCTTTGCTTGGCCCTTTCAATGTAAAGTGTTAAATTAAATAATATGGTAAATTATTCTAATCATCACCAGTCGTCAGTTCCAGTCATCATTACTGCTTGGTTCGGTGCTGCTTATTGCTAAGGAGAATGGCTCTGCTTCAGCTGGCAGGCACATCCTGCACAGCCTATGCCCCTTGTGGCAACCAGAAGGGCATCCAGGATTCTACGATTCTGGCCTTTCTTGCCTGGTGCGCCTTGAGGGTTTTGCTACAGGAGCCGCTCATATTGCACGAAAACTCGGATCGATTTCCCATTGAGCTACTGTTCCGTTTGTTGGGCCATTTGTATCACATTGACTCAACCATTGTCGAAGCTTTGAAATATGGAGGTGGTGTGCGCAGAAAGCGAAGGCTCACCAGGTTGATCCACAAGGGCAAGGTTCTCTCGATGGACAACCCGGGGTTCCTTCGTTTTGATGAACGGTTCCACAGGGATTGCCACATGGCATGGAAGGCTTACTACTGCCAGCACTTGATGGACGACTCAACATCTAAGGCGAGGGACAACAACAGTGGTATGTATACAGAGCAACAGTGAATGAATGATACACCATTACACCATTACACTATTACACCATTGGTTCGGTTCAAGGGATGAAGTGGATAAAACTTGATCACACATCTTTCATCTTCGCATTCTACATTTGCCTACAACTTACTCCCTGCTTGCTGTAACACATATACATGACGTGACAGGCAGAGTTGGAGGAAGACATGAAGTGGAGTGCATCCAGGGCTGCTGTGGTTCGATATCGTGCAAGCAGTGCAAGCACAAGTGTGGAAACTTCAGCTGCCGATGGCAACCCCAACCCTTGGGAATCGTGCTTGACTGAGTTTGAAACCAAATCGTTGGCGGCATATAGAGGCTCATGGCCAAATCAGGCCTATAGTTTGTCGCAGAATGGGGCGACTGGTTTTGCAATGCATTCCACTCCTGAGTCCCTCCACACCCTGATTCGAAATCTTGGGCTTGTATGGAGTGATGCAGTTGCAGGCGGGGTTGCAAAATGACATTGGCAAAAGCATGGCATGCATTTTGTTTTCAAAGTAAAGCATTGAAAAGCAAGGACAAGTTGTATGAAGGTTTAGAGTCTTAAATCTTTAGCCAGACAGTGCTGTTGCTATGATGTCATCATCGAATGAATCAATCAATCAAATCAATTTGAATTGTTATCTACAACTTCAATGCTAGTGATCAAATCTTCAATCAGTAGTCAAATCAAATACTGTATCTTCATTTGAATCATATGAGTTTCTTCCTTCAGGCGATGATGATGATGCCACCAGAGCACGATCCTATGGCAGATGGCTCAGCGGGAGAGAAGCTCTTTTGGCCCAAGCATTTCCTGTTCACCCCGAACTACACAAGGACTTGTGTGTTTGCTCGTTTCATTTCGAATCCAGTACACGTGTTGCACGTGTCATGAGGGCACAAGCAGGGAACAGCATGAATTTGTTCGCAATCTATGTTCAGCTGCTCTATTTTATCCTCTACACCAAGGCAGGGTAGTTCCAAAGAATTACAAAAAGAAATCGAGCTTGGATTCAATATCTTACTCTGAAGCTTGGGCCAAGTCATAGCCATAGTTAGGATTGACTATTGATTTTGTTTTGGTTCATGTTGTATACACTCACACTAATTCACTGGCTTGTGTTTTGTCCCCCGTCCCCAGGTGCAAGCACCATCTTTGCCTATCAGGGGACTTCATGCGATACGAAAGGGATTGAAGCGCAATGATGATCATGCTGATGAACATGGCCATGATGATGGTAATGGTGGAGGGTCTGTCCGAAAACGTATCCGTGTAAAGTCCCCAGCCCCTTCTCGTGGCAAGGGACAGGATTTTGGTCCAATGTTCAGTCGTGTATATGATTCCAATGTTTCCAATGACATCGACTGAGGAGAAAAATTCTGGTTCTTCCTTTGGGGGTTACTCTATTCGACCCTGTGGGATTGACGGGATTGACGTTTGAGTGTAGTCAACTTCCGATGAATTTGAAATGAACGTGCTTGCAGAATCCTACTTCAGGACCCTGCATGCATGCCTGACTCAAGGCTTGTACAGTAGACTAGACATCTGACTGCTGGCCTTGCTCCTAGAAACGCTAGGATATATGGCAGCAGGTCTAGGATGATGGTATGTCTGGGTGTTGCTACCATTTCCTAGGCATGAACGTTCCAGTCCAGTCATTTCGCATTGACACCGAATGTGAATGTTGAATGTGTTGGTTTTTGGTTCAACTTCAACAGAACCATTAATAGGTGTATTTTATTCTAGGACACCTCCAAAATGCAATGCGTTCAGACGTGTTTGCAGCATTCATGCATCATGTAAATGTTAAATTGTTTTTTTGTTTTTGCCTGGTGTTTGCCTCGCTCTCGGATTCGGTGACGGTAGAAGATGAAAAGATGCTTAGGCTTCGACACAAAGATGACTTCAAATTTCAAGACCGACGACCGACTTGTTCCCGTGGAATGTGGAAAAGTCCGAACGTCCGCGTGAACGTTGAGCACCTTCTGACTAAAAGACCAAAAGGCATATGACTAAAAGGTTATTATGTGGCTACGGACTCTAAACCCCAAATCATCTTATATCTACAATAGGATTCAACTTGCCAATCGCCAGCACCTGCCAACACCGATGCCAATTTCCAGGACTGATCAGTCACGTTTCCATTGCCTGCGGCAAGTGACGGGGGCCCAAGTTGGACAGAATTTCAGTGTCAATCGTAGCAAGAAAACACTGAAAATTGGATTTGGTTTCATGTAGCACATTGCTGTGATGTCACATGATGATGTCAAACGTAAAATTTAAGATCCAGATCATTATGACTAAAGATGAAGATGAGGTAAGGATGCTGAGGTAAGGTGAGGCGACTATTACTTTGACATTGTGAGATTGGGACAACATCAAAACAAACAACTAGGTTGACTCAGGGTGATCAGGCTTAGTCACACACGGGTCTCCGTAGAGCGAAGGTGTTTTACTTTTTTTTTGGATGATTGGATGATGATTCATTTGCTTGCCCACTGCCGGCCTCGATTTGTGGCTTCAGACGCTCAACTCAATTCAACTTGTTGTGAGCAACAGCCGTGTGACGTTGTTGTTGCGAGCGCCATGAAGAGACAAAGTGATGCACAACCCGGTGGTGATGATGAGCCAACTTCAAAGTCTATGAAAACCATGTCTGACACCGGGGGAGTAGGGCTTGACGATGACAATGAGTTCGCTGGACTACGTGGACAGTTGTTAGTCGAGGCGATCTTCAAGAAATGGGGGGCAGGAACGATGACAATTCCATGGCTGAACACAGAGACAAAGGAACGCAACATTCGAAGGGATGGGGTCAACAGACCCATCATGGAAAGCCTCGCGGAGGCATATGCCGACCGGATTCTCAGCTCAGGGCCCAATGCCGATCGTTCAGGACTGGTTAAGTTTTTGGTTGGGCTGGTGATTTTTCAACTTGAGTAGTTGTGACACTTTGTGCGGCTATTGTGTGTGTGTGTGATCTGGTATTGGGTCATTATAGGCGTTAGTGTTTCAACTGTTTCAACGGTTACAGACCAGATTGACTCACAGATTGGATGAAGACTACTAACGGCAAATAAACTCAGCGACATGTGACATAACATATTGACATATTGACATGCTGACATACTTACCTTCGGGCAGGACGTGCGTGGATGTGCTGCCATTCTAGCACTCAACCCCTACCTGCACAAGCGATAACTTTCAACCATCGGAGTGAAGCGATGTTCAGAGCGATTGAGCGGGATCCCAAGAACCCGTACGTGGCTCGTGCCCTTGCCACTGGGCTGGAGAATGTTAGAATGTTGAAATCAAGTACACCACAATCGGTACGTGAAGCATTGTGCAGCATCCACAATGCGTACCACGACGGAACTGGGGAAACGTGGATGAGTTTACTCGACTTGGCAGGTGAGATTGCGACTGCATGGGAGCAGAAGGCAGCTTCGATGAACATGCAGACCAGGAATACGAACTACGAAACCACCTATGAGAAGTTCGTGTTCAAAGAACGAGCTGCAGAAGCAGCGCCATGGTCGGAGTCCTTCAACTACTTCAAGATTACCAATGTGTTGAACAATCACCTGAACCGCTTCAACATCAAGGGCATCGTGAGGGATTGGTGCAACACCCACATGAACTTTGCAGACTTCAAGCTGGTGAACAGGCTGGGCAACGGACAACAGCCAACAGCAAGGACAGCAACTAATCAACCACTCAACCGCTGCGTTTCTAGTATTTCGAAATTTATGCATTCACTGGTTCACTTGGTTCAGTTTCAATTCAATCACTAGTTCAATCAGCGATTGTTTTTGAATGTTTTCAGTTTTGAAAGCATTTATATACTAGTTATTTCTTAGTAATACACACTGCAAAGCAAAGGCGACACAGAGGCCCAGTGGCCCAGAATCAGCACTATCCTGCATCTTTTGATATTGGGCTCACAGATTCATACCTATACTCAACCAGACGAACCTTGCCTCAACCAGAAGGGCAAGAGATATGATACTACTGATACTAACTATTATTCCTTACAAATTCCTTGCATATTGCAACAAGATTCATCATGATCATCATGACTGTGACTGTTACCGAATCTTGCATCTTACAAGAAGCTTCCCAATTACGATCGAATCCAGAATGTCATGTATAACTACTGTCAGCTTCAGTTTCCTTAATCCCATCTGGGCATGTTTCCCGTCCATTGCAGGGACATCATAATGATGATCCACTCGTTGACAGTGATCTTGGTGAACGCGATGAAGGGCTTTTACACAAAACAATCCATTGGAGCTGCAATCGTGGAGGGTATCAAGTTCTGTGTTCCCAAGTTGCATTATGAGTCCTGACTGCCGACTCATGACTACCAAATTGCCTCACTTGGGAGAGATTAGAAAAACCTAAATGCGATACCGCCATACCGTCGTATGTTTGCCTTTATTTTTTCCCGTTGTCATACACAGATCAGCGCTGAGTACTACCAAAACAATTTGTATGTTCTTGAGTTGCGCTGATCATCAATGGGTATGATTATGATTGGAATATGTCTAATCATGAATTAATTATCAATCATCATAAATAGTATAGTCTATAAGAGTTTACATTAGACTATTGACCAATACATCATTGTGGCTGTATCACTATCTCACTATCACTTGTATATGTTTTTTCCCACCTGCCAGGTGAGGGTTGTTAGATTTTATCAGGGTTGTTCCTCCTCCTCCTCCTCGGCTAGCTGTCCTCCTCCTCGTCCTCGTCCTCCTCCTCCTCCTCTTCCAGTTTCTCCTCGACCATGTCTGCATCAACTTCTACCTGCACTTCCGCCTTGCCAACTCTTCGCCAAGCTCTTTGCCAACTTCCCAGCTCAGTGTGCACCGCTGGACCCTCAACCTGGGACCTGCACAGCTCAGTGCGCACGGACCTCAACCTGGGACCTGCCCAGCTCAGTGTGCACCGCTGGACCTCAACCTGGGACCTGCCCAGCTCAGTGTGCACCGCTGGACCTCAACCGGGGACCTTCCCAGCTCAGTGTGCACCGCTGGACCTCAACCTGACACTTGCCCAGCTCAGTGTGCACCGCTGGACCTCAACGGCCAGATAGAATGCCAGAAGGTATGCCAGATAGAATGTCAGATAGAATGCCAGAAGATATGCCAGATAAAATGCCATGAGATATGCCAGATAGATATGTCAGATAGAATGTCAGATAGAATGCCAGAAGATATGCCAGAACATAAGCCAGAAGATATGCCAGATAGAATGCCAGAAGATATGCCAGAACATATGCCAGAAGATATGCCAGAAAGAATGCCAGATAGAATGCCAGAAGATATGCCAGAAGATATGCCAGATAGAATGCCAGAAGATATGCCAGAAGATATGCCAGATAGAATGCCAGATAGAATGCCAGAAAGAATGCCAGTAAGAAAATATATAAATGTCATGGTGGGGATCACACGAAGTAAAGTATTTTTTTGCAATCATGTGGGTCACGTCGGTACTACTTGACAACTTGACAACTGCTGTTTGCTAGGTGCCTACTCGCAATTCGGGCACTGGTGAGCGATTGATTCCCCAAATCTTTGCGAAGACTGGTGCGGAGACTTTGGCCGTGATGAATTATGTGGTGACACCAATGTCTACTAGCTCTGTGTTCAAAAAATTGGAGGAAGAGGCAGAAGCCAGGGCAGGATCAAAAGCAGATGCATCTGCAGCTTTGGATGGGGAGGAAGCTGGTCCTTCTCGGGGGCGTGCAGCTGGCAGGGGTCGTGGTGGTGCCGGCGGTGGTGGCCGCAAGCAAAAGTCAGTTTCAGGAAAGGCCAAGGCCAAGGCCAAGGCGACATCAGAGGCTGAAAGAGCAGAAGAAAAACCTGATGACCACTGGTCACCGATGGCATCTCCCTTGTCAAGTGAGGTGGGGGGTGGGTCTTTGGACGCCCGCTACAAGACGGCTTTGGATGATGTCATGCACGTTTTCAATGCCATTGCCAGCATCTACAGGAACAAGGTTGGTGAGGCAAGTTCGAAAGCACTGCAGATCTATGACCAGTCCATCATGACCTTGTTTGGCCACACCATCTCGTGTTTCTTCGAGTTTGCTTGGTCAGGAACTGTGGCTATCAACGGCAAATTCGTGCGCACATACAGTGGATTCCGCCAGGAAATTTCGACTTTCATCACAACAGCTTGTGAGCTTGCTTCCACGTGCTCACAGCCAGGCAAATCGCGTATGTCTCTGGCCACTCACATCTCGGATGTTCTGGACTCTGAGACCGGCTTGGCTGTTGGACATGGCATGAAGGATGAGTCAGATGAAGCACGGGCCACCAACCGCATTGTTGCTGCACTCAGCACTGCGGCAGCTTCTGGCATGGTCGAGTTTGTGAATGAGGTTCTGGAACTTCCGTTGGAGTTCCATGCGAAGTTTTCAGAGGTATCTTGTCTGCAACCTGCAACAGACTTTTACACTCCAGACATTGACATTAGACATTACAAGTAAATTCTTCTAGACGTCATATCAGAGTCTCGTCAAGTCTAGTGAGTATTGAATGCATATCGTTAGTATAATAGCATTGTAAATTTTGAAGAACTCAAAACTTGAACTTAAACAGCAAGAAGAAAATGCTAACTGTACCCTGGAACCGAAACTATGTACTTTATTCCCCACCTGCCAGGTGAGGGTTGTTAGATTTTATCAGAGCTGTCCTCCTCCTCCTCCTCCGCCTCCTCCGCCTCCGCCTCCTCGCGGTCCAGATCCCAGTGGGCACAGCCGGACCTGCACCGCAAGCTCCAGATCCCAGTGGGCACTGCCGGACCTCAACCGCGACTTCCAGGTTGCAGTGGGCACTGCCGGACCTCAACCGCGACTTCCAGATCGCAGTGGGCACTGCCGGACCTCAACCGCGACTTCCAAATCGCAGTGGGCACTGCCGGACCTCAACGGGAAGAATGTAAGAAAAGATGTCAGATAGAATGTCAGAAGATATGCCAGATAGAATGCCAGAAAGAATATCAGAAAGAATGTCAGAAGATATGCCAGACAGAATGTCAGAAGATATGCCAGAAAGAATGTCAGAAGATATGTCAGATAGAATGTCAGAAGATATGCCAGATAGAATGCCAGAAAAAATGTCAGAAGATATGCCAGATAGAATGTCAGATAGAATGCCAGAAGATATGCCAGATAGAATGCCAGAAGATATGTCAGATAGAATGCCAGAAGATTTGCCAGATAGAATGCCAGAAGATATGCCAGAACATAAGCCAGAAGATATGCCAGATAGAATGCCAGAAGATATGCCAGATAGAATGCCAGAAAGAATGTCAGAAAGAATGTCAGAAGATATGTCAGAATATATGCCAGAAGATATGCCAGATAGAATGCCAGATAGAATGCCAGATAGAATGCCAGAAGATATGCCAGATAGAATGCCAGATAGAATGCCAGAAGATATGTCAGATAGAATGCCAGGAGATATGCCAGAAGATATGCCAGATAGAATGCCAGAAGATATGTCAGATAGAATGCCAGAAGATTTGCCAGTAAGAAAATCTATAAATGCCATGGTGGGAATCATTCGAAGTGAAGTAATTTTGTACTTTGAATGCTTATATAAGATGCAGATATAGATATATTTCAGTAACTTTTACTTATGCCTTTAGGGCCTGTTGTTGGTCAGCCGTCAGCTCTGTGGAACCCTTTATCTTAAGTTTAGTTATCCTTAGTTCTGTGAGGTCACTGACACTGACTATTCATTATTTCCTCATACTGCCAATGCGATACAATGCATGTAGCATGACTCAATGATAGTTTTGCTCATGGTGGTCGTATTCAGATATTAGCCCTTTCGCTCTTGAGGCCAAGCAGAAGTTAGCAGTTGACCCGGAGATCAGTGCTGAAAGCACCCTGTACCAAGTGTTGCAGAAGGTCTACGATGCTCTTTCGGTTGCGCTTCCGCCTAGGTGGGTTAGTTTGGCCGCTGATGTGAGTGACGTCATGGCGGTGAGATTGGGCTTTGTGGGAGGTTCAGATGCCATCTTCAAGAACAGGAAAGATCTCTTGGAGCGGTTCATCACCTTGCGATCGCTGTACACTCTCACACTTCTCCGGGACCTGAGCAATTTGAAGAAGACTTCTTTCAATGGCTCCGTGCGTTTGCTGACTTCTTCTTTGCAAGTGGACCTTGACAACGCCATGAAGATTGCCAAGATTAGATCCGATGCAGTGCACAATGGTCTGTCCAAAGAGGCATCTGATGAAGCTGAGCGAACCATAGCGAAACCTCACCGAGTGGCCACTTTGGTTCCTGGTTTCGATGTGTTGCAGAGCACCCTGGCTTTGCTTGGGTCTGATTGTTTCAAGTTGAAATGGCAGTGCCAGTCAAGTTGAATCGAAGTTGTTTGGTTGTTTGTTGGTAGTATTGTTTTTAATTTTTTCCCTGTGTTATGTCCTGGGTCTTATCCTGGCAATCGTGTGCAAAAAGGTACCGAGACATGGTCCAAGAATTGGGCTGGGCTTCTGAATGCAAAGACGCAGGAGGGTGCTTACTCCTGGTTGAAAGTGTTCGTCAAGAGTGATTCGATTGTGGAGGAGATTGAAAAGGCGAAGAAGGGACCAACTGACGAGGAAGATGAACCATCGGCACCCGCAGCACATGGAAGAGATGGTGGTGATGGAGCCGGAGAAATGCCAGAAGCATGGGCTGCGGGCGGAGTAGAAGGTGAACGTCAGCAAATCAAATCCCGAATGACCTTGTTTGATCTTGCTCGCAGCGGCGTTTCAATGTTTGAAAAGGGGCTTGACTACGTCTCATTGTTCAAGGATACGCCCGACATGGTGACTGCGACTGACATGAAGCTTTTGGAACTTCGACTGGAGCTTTTCCTTTGGGACTGGGTTGTAACAAATCATATGCAAAGACCCAACAACTCAACAACTCAACAAACACAACTGACAAATACTAATACTAGAATTCGTTTAATAGCCTTGGCTGTGGCTTGTTACTGGTTGCTAGCCCTGCAACGTTTGACTCACTTAATTGGACTGTTGCAACTGTTGCGACTGTTACACGGTTACTGTTATACTGTTACTGAATACCTAATTTAGACTCATTGCTTTCCTGTGACAGGACCATTACACTAGCGTGGTCGACAGCACCGCTGAAGTGATCGAGTGGAATTTTGGCGATGCCGACGAAGAGGCACAAGCATTTTCTACGGGAAATGTTGGCAAGGTGGCCAAGGTGAACAAGAAATTACAGGCCCAAAGGCTTATCTTCTCCAAGTTCGACCAGAGCACTCCTGAGTTCAAGAAGTCGCTGCGGTTGCCCTACCTTGGACATGTTTCCACCGTCAAGTCAGGTGCAGCTTCTTTTTGCATTGGCACTATCTTTGACTGCAACTTCTACATGAATCCTTTGCCAACGCCCAGCCCAGCAAGCCCGACGATTATCCCAGCGTGGTTGATTCCAAATACCAACAAGCCCCCCCAAGCGACGTTGATGGAAAAGGAGGAGAAGATCCAATGTGTTGCTAGGTCTAACTTGATTTTCTGAATGCTGTGCATGTTTGTTTCATGTCTGAATTTGTGCAGATGTAATATGCAAAAAAAAACAAAATGATATTTCAAATCAATCTGATTCAATACCTGGGTACCATAAAGGATATATAGCCAAGAGTAGCCAATTAGCAACTCAACAATTTGATAATCAATCAATCCATGTTTCTTGGGTTCCTAGGGTTTGGTGGTTGTGACTGTTCTTGTGGTCGGTGACTGTTATTGATTTGACGTGAGGTTTTGACCAGAGACCTGAAGATTGCAACGTTGACTGATGCCATTGAAAAATCAGAGGTGGCGTTGGTCGATTTGCGCATGAAAGTGCTGCTTGGGTACCTTTCGGTATTTTTTGTCTTGTTTTTTGTGACGTATCTGAGTTTCTAGTCCATTGCATGTCAACCCACACTGACAGACTGACAGCCACATTGATATAATGCTCCTATGCTCAACCTGATATGTTTTTAGACATCTTCATCATGATCCTCATGTTGTTCCCCACCTGCCAGGTGAGGGTTGCTAGATTTTAACAGAGCTCTTCTCCTCCTCCTCCTCCTCCGCCTCCTCTGCCTCCTCCGCCTCCTCACCCGCCGCCTCCTCCTCGCAGTCCAGATCCCAGTGGGCACAGCCGGACCTCCACCGCGAGCTCCAGATCCCAGTGGGCACTGCCGGACCTCAACCGCGAGTTGCAGATCGCAGTGGGCACTGCCGGACCTCAACCGCGACTTCCAGTCGCAGTGGGCACTGCCGGACCTCAACCGCGACTTCCAGATCGCAGTGGGCACTGCCGGACCTCAACCGCGACTTCCAGATCGTGGGCACTGCCGGACCTCAACGGGAAGAATGTCAGAAAAGATGTCAGATAGAATGTCAGAAGATATGCCAGATAGAATGCCAGAAAGAATGTCAGAAAGAATGTCAGAAGATATGCCAGATAGAATGCCAGAAGTTATACCAGATAGATTGCCAGAAGATATGCCAGATAGAATGCGAGAAGGTATGCCAAATAGAATGCCAGATAAAATATCAGATAGACTGCCATAAGATATGCCAGATAGAATCCCAGAAGATTTGCCAGATAATATGCCAGAAGATATGCCAGATAGAATGCCAGAAGATATGCCAGAACATATGCCAGAAGATATTCCAGATAGAATGCCAGAAGATATGTCAGATAGAATGCCAGAAGATATGCCAGATAGAATGCCAGAAGATTTGCCAGAAGATATGCCAGAACATCTGCCAGAAGATATTCCAGATAGAATGCCAGAAGATATTTCAGATAGAATTCCAGAAGATATGCCAGATAGAATGCCAGAAGATTTGCCAGATAAAATTCCAGATAGAATGCCAGAAGATATGCAGATAGAATGCCAGATAGAATGCCAGAAGATATGTGAGATAGAATGCCAGAAGATTTGCCAGTAAGAAAATGTATAAATGTCATGGTGGGGATCACACGAAGTAAAGTAATTGTTTTTTTTCTTGCTTGCTGACTTGCTGTCCTTTCAAATTTCGATTTCATATGGTGATGCGCTGATACACTGATACACTGGCGGCCTTGTCACCAAGCGTTTATGTTCGTGGCCGCATTGAGGGGCGTGCAAGTTTCGTATGTTATCCTTTATCTTCGGCCAAGTGCATTTGTGTTACATACTTGTGGATTCTGGTGGCATCTGACGTTTTTGCCCTTGAGGTTAAGACTTTGTGAGTATGAGTATGCGTATAGCCATGTTAATTGTAAATGGTACAGTATTACACGCAACCACTTCAACAAAGCTTCCTACATGCTGTGGTTTCCGAACAATCTTGAGGCTGTCTCCGAATGAGTTGGTATTCCAAAATGCTGAGAAGGAGAAGGCAACTGAACTTCCCCTGCTCAAGTATCAGCACAAGAAGAAAGATGGAGATGAAGCAGGTGATCCCATGGAGAAGGAACAACTTTTTGGATACCCCTTTGCGCTGCTTTCGCGTCGTACGGCTATGGAGGCTGCTGGTATGTCTACGGCTTTGCCATCCCTGTCCAAAGAGCAGAAGAAAGCTGAGAAGGACAAAAAGAAGGCTCTTGTGAATGCTAAGCATTTACTGCGATAGCCGGCTTTGAGGCCAACAGAATTTGAATCGGAACTGTATAGATCAGTGTGCAGCTGACGCCCGCTGCCGTGGCCTTTTTCAAGTTGAATCTTGCGACGTTTTTTGTATGCTGACTATGCATTCTCACGAAACAAGTGAGGGACGCCAGGCTTCTAATATATTCTGCTTGTTGCTAGTTATCGCTCATGATTCATTCTCAATTTCTCAAGTAAAAAAAAATCTAGACCAAGAGATTGATGACCAAATGGGGCTTGACTGCTAAAATCTATGATAAAGATAATGCACGAGTTAAATCTGTTTGTTTCCCTGGTTTTGGGCGTGGTTATGCAATCTCTGGAAGCTTAATTTTATATCGTGAATTCCTGGCTTGACTCGCTTGACCTCATTCCGCCATGTGCCATGTACGGCTACCGAGAGGCTGTATAATTCGTTTTCTGCATGTCATTCTGATCAAGATGCAAATCTAAGAGTAAAATACTTCACAATCACGCGATGTACGTGAAAAGAAAAGAAGCCGCACCAGCTGAATTGCTCTGGTGAAATTTTTGGCATTTAGCAACTACTGGAACGTCATCTGAAGACTTGCGGTGAATCAGTGGGCGGTTACGATTTTCGCACGCTGCCCCCCAGCACACGTGCTCTGATTTATTGCTTTCACACATTCTGAAATCTTTGTCGCCCAGGTCATACGACGAGAATTGGCGGACAGATTGGCAAAAAGCAATGTGCTGCAGCGTTCCATCCCGTGGCATGTTCATGCTCATAATTTAGGTTATTGAAAAAAATGCTTTACGCGCACCCCTGGATTGCGCAGAAATCTGTTTACCACACATTGAAAAAAAGATTGCACCACAGAAGCACCATGTCGGAATCCTCACCTCATGGCTATGCCATTTGTCATGGTTCTTTACACATATATTCTTTACACATGTCATGTTCTCTCATTTTATATTCCACGATGTGAGATATACCGCCAGGAAGCTGAAAAGCCTCCGGTTCATGGCGGAACATTCCACGACTCAGCTTATAGCTAATTATGCACGTCTGAATTATATATATATATATATAATTATATTGTATAAAATATAATTAAAATATATTAAAATATCATAAAACATCTGTGTGTGATGTGCCAAAGCCTTCGGTCTGAAATCAGCGGGCCTGGACTACCCTTCGCAGGCAGAAAGTGTGCTGCCTCGATGTGAAAGGTCTGTGAGAGTCGCGGGGATAGTCTGGCAGCCTCGACTCGGCACCATGAGGTCAGACCGGGCGGACATGGGCGGACCCAAACTAAGTAGCACATCCAAAGCGATAGTCTGGTCATCTGGCCGAATAAATGTCAATGAAATGCTCTGAAATACAGAAAAAAACACTGAAAGACTTCAACTGTTGTGGCTGGCAACTGATTGGTAACTGTCTTCCAATGATGCTCCATTCCTTAGGTCGGTTTCAGGAGTGTCGAGCGGGTGGAACAACTTCAACCCACCATTGAAAACATGATTGAACGTTCGAAACCTGTCATTGTCAGGCTCGCTTTCCTTGGCTATCTTGTCAGACCATGGTGACAACTCAGGGGGATGGGCCTGGTTTGTGCACAAGGCTCAGGTAAGTATACGCCCGAAGGCCCGCATCCTTCCCAAGCAAGTCCAGCATCACGAACCAATCTTCGGCGCCCTAGCAGTGAGGTTGTACGTGCCAGCACTGGGCCAGGGGAAGTCCCTATATTTGATGGCACACCTCTCAAAAACCGGCAAACATATCTAAGCTAGCGGGGGGGGGAACCGGACAAGATTTCTCATTGTTTTTGCTGGGGTGGGGTGGGGTGGGGGGGTGGGGCGGGCTATTGATGTTCATGTTCACATGCACGCTATCTTCATGCTACGTTACCAAGATCTTCTCTTGCACTTGCTAACTATCTTCTTGCTACCTTATGAGATCTTCCCTTGCAATTGTTATCTATCTTCATGCTATGGTGACAAATTTTCTCTTGCGTTTGCTGACTATCTTCATGCTACGTTAACAAGATCTTCTCTTGCACTTGCTATCTGCTATCTATCTTCATGCTATGTTAACAGATTTTCTCTTGCACTTGCTAACTATCTTCATGCTACGTTAACAAGATCTTCTCCTGCACTTCCTAACTATCTTCATGTTACGTTAACATACGTTAACAAGATCTTCTCTTGCACTTGCTAAGTGTCTTCATGCAACGTTGACAAGATCTTCTCTTGCACTTGCTAACATGGAGAAGATCATAAAGATATCTTACTTGGTGACTGATGGTGCAAAGGCATACCCCTCCTTGTCAAAGACATACCAGTTGAAACATGAGGAAGTGAATCATGCTGCTGGAGAACTTGTTCGCTTGAAGTGACGAGGACCAAAGCCAGCTTTGAGTGTGCACACACGTGGTATCGATTGCACGTGGAAAATAAGCAAAGATAAGCTTCCACCGGACATTCATACCAGAAAGAAAGGCAAGATCAGCAAAGATCAACAAAGCACAGCAGGGATTGCGTGCTGCGAGCGACTGCTAAGCAACTGAAAAAGCAAGCGAAAATGTGAGAGTAAAAAGTGAAGTTGACCGACAAAGGGTTCCAAAACTGTGGTAAAACGCGATTTTTGAGGCTAAAAAAACACAATTTCGCTGCCAGTTGCAAGGGATTGTGACTTTAATGTTGAAAATACCGTCCTGTTCACCCCCCGCACGGATATTTAACAATCATGGTTTCCCGGCATTTCCCGCAACTTTTCTGGGGATGTGGCATAGCGATGGAAATTCCTGATTTGTCGCATGGATCTTGTAGCCACATCCCTTCCCTTTGGCGCACGCTGTCAACACCACTAGGGCACTCGTTTCGATGCCAGGCTTAATTACTGTGATTCTCAACTGCCAACCATCTAAGATCATCTAAGATCATCTAAGATCATCGGAGTATGTATATATAAATATATATATATAATTATTATATTTCATCTACTTACTACATCTTAATACTATATTAATGATATAAGAATATATAATATTCTATATGTAATATAATATAATATATGCTGTATCAATCTGTGTCATCTCTCTTACATATGTCTAAGTATATACAGTAATCATTTGATGCTCCCTGACACTCCGACCTCATTCTCACTGGCCAGCGCTGCTTCGATTGCAGGAACTCGGGCTCCGTCTCCTCTTTTGGAAAATCTATGGCACATCAGCTTGAGACAACATGAGTTGACATCATGTCAATAGAGGCTATGCCAGTAGAAACTGCCAAACCAATGGAACAATCCGATTTGGACCTGACGTTCCAAAAATACATGCAAGCTGGGCCGCTGGGCACCTCTGCTGAAAGCCTCAAACCCAGGTAGTGCTGCCACGTACTCCAGCTCTTGCTTTTCCAAACGAGTCATCAAACCTGCGACCAACAGCTTGGCGGGTGCAAGTTCCGCCATCAAACATGACAGATTCAGAATGTGAACGCAAAGGTTTCATGGCAGACTTTTCACATGTCCAATAATAACATGTTAAAATATGTTAAAATAAACCAACCCGCGATTCAATTACTTAATGATTGGCTGGGTTCATATTAATTATGGGTTATTATTGGCCTTCCTCACTACAATACAATATGATCCATTGCTGGATCCATCATGTCATTTAGGCGAGTGGCTAGAGAAGGTTCTGGTTCCATAGACTCGCGTGCCGCTCGTGGTATCACCAACTGCCCAAAATTGCGCTAGCGGCAAGAAGGGCGAGGTCTCATGACCCGTTGCATACCTTCATACAGCAATGAATTCATAGGGATGAAACTGACTGCCTGAGCCCTTCATTTGTATCGCACAAGTGAAAGAAATCAAAGAAACGCAAAAACATGCAAAAACAGGAACAAGCGTCTCGTGGTATGCCAGCTTCCAATACTTGTGGATCACACGCCGCACAGGCCAATTAAATATTTTGGAGCGGTTGATGGTGGGCAATCCAGCCAAGGCGACATCCCTGGCAAACTTATGACCTGAAGAAGTGCAAGGCCTGTCGACTCTGTTAACTAAACCGCCCATCATTTCTCATGTTTCCATTGGTTACCCGTTGATCCGTTGTTTGATTGCTGTTCAATCCAATGTTTCCTGGTAGATCTGGTGGAATATGCGCAAACAGGGGCTTCACTCCTAATTTTTGGTGGTTCAATCAGCGCGCCCACGAATGGATCGAATGGGTACCACAATAACGCCTGGTATATATATATCACACACACATATATATATATATATATAAGCTGATCGCCTCACTTAAGATAAATCACATTAGATTAATAGTCTGCTGAGTCTGCTGGTAAGAATTGGTGCCTGTTCAGTATTGGATCTGTTCATTTTGTGGGTGTATTTGATATCAGGAAGACGGGATGACAATATCTACAAGGACCAAGCAGTCTATCTTTTTTTGTTGCAAAGTCATAATTTTGTAGGTCCAACTGGCTCCCCTTTCTCTCCTCTAAACATATCCACAACATTCACTGGGAGATAGCCATGGCTCATGGCTCCTCCATGCTGTCGAGGCTCGCTCCTGCAGAAGTTTCTGCAGATCGCGACCTGAGTCCTCCGTCCAAGTCCAGGTGCTGGGGCTCACCTGATGGCTGGATTCGCTATGTAGTGCGATATTAATGGTGAAATTTGCTAATTATGCATTGAAATCTTGTATTAATATCTGGTAAATGTGGAAAGGAGGTAAGACATGGCATACAGCATGTGGCAAATCCATCTTGTAGGGCTCCATCCAAAAAAATAACACACACACACGTGTATATATATATATAATATATTTATATATACAGTTATATAATGTTGTATACATATAGACCTACGATATAAAGAAACACTTTCCGTAACTACGCTTTGTGCTATTCATGCGCCATGTGCTTTATCTTGGGTCTTGGATTTTCCCACATCAAGCATCGGTAAAACTCTGACTTGAGCACAGCCCAAGAACCAACAAAGTACTCCATGATGCTGAAGCCGACACACTGGCAGCTGCAGACACCATTCGCCCTGCAGACCTTGCGCCGGAACCAGCGCTGAACGGCGCCACTATATTAAGTATGCAAGACCATCAATGGCTACAAGTGTAGGTATAGGTTTAACCGTTTAACCAATAAAATTGGGGGTATAAACTCAAAAAAAACGGGAATGCAATGGGACCCTTTGTTCCAATCCCAACTCTTCATGGTTCGTCAAGCACCAAGTGGCCGATAGTGCTGAAAACACTCTGGTGCACGTCTCTGAGAACTGTTGTGCTGAAAGAAGTGGACAATGCATTCTCCTTAGCAACAGCTTTCCAAATCAAAGTCCTGGAACGTACCAACATCGTACTAACAGTCAGCACATATCAAATTTCAAGCCAAATAGAACAGAACACCGCACCAGATGCACCAGCTTGCACCAGCACCATCTTTACACTGAAAGACTCACATGTTTGCATTTGCAGCGGCTCGAACAGTTGACGGATTTCCGAGATTTTGCGAGTGTTCTGACAGAGTTTCGTCTGTGCGGCGTGCCCTCCCAGTTGTCCTTGTCGCTCCATGCAACCGAGGCACCTTCAATTCCTTTGCAAATTTCCTGCAGTTTCTCTTCAATGTCGAGTTGACCACAGTAAATAATGTCCTTGGCATGGGTCAAAATTACCACCCAAATTCACCCCAAAATGGATGGTCTAATCCTAGCAATTAAAAAACATGGCAAATTGTGTGGGCCCATCACCTTCTCAGCTTCCGAGAGTCCACCCGGCCACGTCTCATCCATGCACGATGGAACTTCTTGTGGGCCGTGTCCAAGCGCAGTAACAACGATGGAAGGGGCTGGGCAAAAATGGCCTGCAAGACACACTTGGACGGAAGTCGCTATCATGAGCTCTTTTCATGAAAAAACATGCTACATCATGTTGCATCCATAATATGTACAATTAAAAAAACCATTGCAGCAACAATCATTTAAAACACTTCAAACATATTCAACGAACTTATTTAAAACACAGCCGAGTCAGACTCGGTGAACATTGGTGAACATTGATTCCCCATGAGTTGATCACCCATGGCATTCGCCTTTGGTCCACCACTGTGCCGCCCTGCTGCCAGGCGCGCGGCTGCCTGCGTTTGTGCCAGCAGGCCAACGTCAACGCCTCAAGGGAGGCTGGTCTCTGGTATCTCTGGTGGTTTGGACATCCCTTAACACGTCTGAACCATTCCTCAGTCCAAGAATATCTGAGTAAATCAAATAGCACATCCTGAGCCAATTCATGCTTCCTATTGAAGTGGCCATACATGGGATATCCCGGGAATACTCAATTTTCAAACGCCAATATTTTGAGCACTAGATCAACCTTTGGCCCCAGGGGTTCTGCCTGGAGACATTCCTATTTGCAATCGCCCGCCATTCGCACGCATGCCAGCGGCTGCCAGTGCGGCAGCCGCTGCAGAGCGTGCAAGTGGACATGTCTGTCGCAATAGAGGTGCAGCATGCTTCCTCTCAGGTACCCAGCCCATGACTGGGGCAACTGGTGGCATCTTCTGGACGCGGGTGTGTGTGTGTGTGTGTACCATCTGAATAGATGTAAAACTTCTAATCTTGCAGGGGGTCACCGGGGTCCCGGGGGGGTCGGTGACCAACGAAGACACCTCCCCGGGACCCGTGAAAACGTACCTGCGGGACTGTGGTGGCGCACCTGGGCGCATTTAAGTCGCAGCTGGTGGCCACCATAGTCCCATATATATATAATATATATTTAATATATATTTTTCATTTCTCCTGTTAGGTTTAACTGAGTTGTCTTTGCACGTCTGGTGCATTCCGCATCAGTAATTCGATAAGACATTTCTGAGCAAGTGTGTCATTCCTGCTGCCTACGTCAAGTTGGCAGGAACCCTTCGGGGAAAGCCTTCTAGGCTAACAATTGACAGTAAAACGACGTCTGAATTTACACTTTTGAATTAGTAATTCGTCTAAGTAAAGTGAACTGCTGGCCTTTTTTCGATTCTCACCTGTCGATGTCGTTGGTTGAACAACTGGCCGCCGTGGGGCGTCATTTTTTCTGAAGATCAGCCTGACTGTCACTGGTAGCCTTCAGCTGCGACAACACCTCCTTTTCCAGTGAAGCTCAAGAGACGGACTGCAGCCATTTACATGAAAATCCAGGCAACAGGACATCCTTGCAGGTATGGTGTTTCTTTCTTTTTGGTCGTTGGTGAGGTTCAATTGTGCACGTAATTCAGGGGTCGAACACGTAAGCTGTCCAGAGGGTTGTGAAATGAATGCCGAGGGCCTTTGAGCCTTATCACGAATCTTGCATGAATCGTGGTTGCATCATTTAATTAACTTAACTTGTCCCCCATGGGTCCCCTTTCTCATGTGTTTCTGCGTTCTCCTCTCTTTAGGTAGGTTGGGTCCTGCGCGTGCCGAGGTAGGCGTAGGTTTTCGCCGTGTTAGGTTGGTTCAGGCGCTTCCGTCCTTCCCCCCCCTCCGCTGGTCTTGTTCCGTTGTCCTTCGGCCTCCGCTTTTCTTTTCCCTTGCCTTTTCAGGGTTTGCCCGTTTCGGGCCAGGTGTGTCGTGTTGGTGTTCTCTCTGTCCCTCTTCTTTTGCGTTCCCCTCTTCGCGTCCTGGTTAGGTAATGTTCATTTCATTTTCATTGTCATCTCACTTTCATTTTCATTTCATCTGCCCCGCCGCGGAGGGGCGTGTGTGTGTACCATCTGAATAGATGTAAAACTTCTAATCTTGCAGGGGGTCACCGGGGTCCCGGGGGGGTCGGTGACCAACGAAGACACCTCCCCGGGACCCGTGAAAACGTACCTGCGGGACTGTGGTGGCGCACCTGGGCGCATTTAAGTCGCAGCTGGTGGCCACCATAGTCCCATATATATATAATATATATTTAATATATATTTTTCATTTCTCCTGTTAGGTTTAACTGAGTTGTCTTTGCACGTCTGATGCATTCCGCATCAGTAATTCGATAAGACATTTCTGAGCAGGTGTGTGTGTGTGTGGAACATCTGAACAGATGTAAAACTTCTGCCTGATGATGTCGTTTTTTGCTGTTCGTTTGGTTTTCGTTTTTTCTCTTCGTGTTGCTTTGTCACCTTCAACTGCCATTTTCAACTTCAATATCCATGTTAGAGCAGGGGGGCACAGAAGGCCCATAGAGCTGTGCCCAACGAAGCTCTCTATGGTGTCCTTAGGATATCCAGGCTGATCATCTGGACGTACCTGCGCTATTGTGATTACCTGTTGTTCAGGGTTTGCTTCCATTCAATTTTCATTTTCTGATGATGGGAAGAGGCTCAACCCAAGAACCTCCATGTCGTTTTGTGCAATTTTCTGCACAGTTGTCGCAATCTGTCAACCTATTTCATCTTGCACTGGCTATGGAAATGATGCCTTTTCGATGCTTCTCGGTCCTTTCACCGACCCATTCCTGTCAGGTATGACTGGAATGTTTTTGCACGTACGATGCATTTCACATCAGAATTAGCAAAGATTGTTCTGAGCAAGTGTGTGATTCATGCTGGATTCGTCACAGTGGCATGAACCCTTCGGGGAATAACTTTCTAGGTGAATCCTCGACCTGATCTCTGAATTTACATTTTTCAACTTAGTAGTACGTTAAAGTAAAGTGCAACAGCTGGCCATTTTTCATTTCTCACCCTGTCGACTGTCGATGTTTTGAACAACAGGCCGCCGTGTGGCGTCACTCTTTTTTCAAAGTGACTGTCTGTAGCCTTCAGCCGCGACAACAATTTCCTTTCCAACTTTGCCCAAGAGAGTACGGAGCTCGACACTTTGACATCATGACACATGAGCAGGTTAAGGTTCAGGACATGCCTGCAGGTGTGGTGTTACTTCTCTTTTGGTATCTGGTGAGGTTCAATTGTGCACGTAATTCGCGGTTTGATAACTTAAGCCGTTTACAGGGTTGTGACCACGGGGGGCCTGAGAGCCTGATCACAAACATTGCATGCATCATGTTTCACTAACTAGTTCGCCATGGGTCCCCTATTTCATGTGTTTTCCTCTCTACAGGTAGGTTGGGTTCTGCGTGTGCTTAGGTAGGCGTAGGTTTTGCTGTGGTAGGTTGGTTTAAGCGCTTCCATCCTCCCCCCCTCCCCTGGTCTTGTTCCGTGTCCGTCGGCCTCCGCTTTTCTTTCCCCTTGCCCTTTCAGGGCTTGCCCGCTTTGGGCCAGGTTTGCTTGTGTTGGTGTTTGCTCCTTCCCTCTTCTTTTGCGTTCCCCTCTTCGCGCCCTGGTTAAGTAACTTTCATCTCATTTTCATCTTCACCTCATCTTCATTTCCTTTCAATTTCATCTTCATCTCATTGTCCGGACCTTAATTTTCCCACCCTCCCGCGGGAGGGTGTGTGTGTGTGTAACATCTGAACAGATGTAAAACTTCTTTGATTCAAATCTGTTCACATTTGCAGGGAATCTTTTCACATTTGCAGGGGGACTGGAGCCGATTTGCCTATCCAGTCCAACGAAGCTATGGCATTTCGGTGGATGAGTGGTCTGATCAACCACTTGTACCTGCAAAACTCAGTTTGAACTGTTGTCCAAGCTGTTACACTGCGTTGTTTCGAATCTACACGGTTGCCACAATCTGTATTGCATGCATCAGAACCTTCCTCAGATTTTCGCCGAAACCATATCGCCGACAGTATTATGATTCTTTGACATATTTTCGCCGAGATCATGTCGCCGACGAACTCTGGGTTTTTGGGAAACAATCGCCGAAACATTATTTTGGATTTTGGATTTTCAACATACTGGTCAAAACACCTTGGACTCTGGTTTTAACTACGTTGGACAATATTGGATACCCTACATCGTTTTCGAGAAGTACCTCATGTGGCTCCTTCACTAATCTAACGATCTAGGCTGGTTTGCATGTTTCAGGATTCAGTTCCTGCCGGATCATATAATGATCCATTCTTGTCTAGTGTGATTTCCATGGTGGCTCCGACATGGTGCCATGGAGCCATTTGAGGCAACCCTTTTCAGGGTGAGTGTTGACAGTCTTGAATTCTGAATTCACACATTTTAATTTGGTAATTCATCTAAGTATGTCGCAACAGCTGGCCTTACCGTTTTGCACTTTTGACGAAGTCCTGCGGCTCCTGTGGTCCCAGGGATTCCTCGCCATACTGCCTGTCTACCAGAGCGAAGACGTTCGGAACATTCAGAAACCTCCGTTTTTGCAGCAACTTTTGCAGCGTCATATTGCATTATTTCACGACTTATGACCAGGCAGGCACACGACTTTCAGGTGTGGTATTCCTTCCTTTTGGTTCTCTGGTGAGGTGAAACATATTGTGCATCTAATTCGTTGGAACTTGAAAGCCGTTTGATGCCATTGGGGCACGACTTGACTGCGGGCCTGTTGTGGCACAATTGCACGAATAGTAGGTCTAGGAACTGAATCCTGTTGTTACAATTCCATTATTTGTCATTATTCCTCGAGAGCGATGTATCCGTGGACCAACCCTCCGACGTCATGGCCTGCTCCACCGCAGCCTGCGAACCCATCTTCGACGTGGCAGCAATCGTCGCAAAATGCACATCTATTTGGACATCCTTCGGCATTGCATCCTACATGGTCTTCTTCAGCTTCGCTCATGCCGTCCACATCGGCCCCAACCTCGTTGCCGTTCACCCCATTGACTCCGGCTCCTCATGCAGTACCAGGCCCACAGTTCGTTCCCACTATGCCCTCGCCTTTGGCCCCTGAAACCACCATGATGCACACCGCTCCGTCGACCTTTCCATCGTCTACGGCACCCACCGCTCCACCCACGTGGCCTACTCCATCCCCTACATCGACTACACCACCTACATCGACTACGCCACCGACACCTTTGCCCAGTTCTCCATACCCACCTCACCATATTCAACCACCATTACAGACGGACGCATCGATGGTCCCTCCAGATGAACCTTCAATACGGGCCCCGGCAGTTAAAGCGGCTCCCAGGCTTCGCTCTGACAAACGACCGGATCGACCACGTCGACCAGCTCCAAAAGTCCCTCCTCCGTCTACACCACCAACACCCACGGCAGCACCGACTTCATCCGTGTCACCTGAACTGGTAGCATTGGGCTCCACTGCACAGCAACTTGCGGAATCGGTTCGATTTATTCAAGCTCAACAACAAATGATCATGGATTCCCAACGAGCCCAAGAACAACGTCAGCTACTTCTCCAACAAGATGGACCTCCACCGAACCCTATTCCACAGACACCACCACCAACAACTACACCACCACTGATCGCCACTCCTCCACCTGCACCGAAAGCCAGACCCACCGAACCTGATCTTCCGGACCCTCGTATTGTCCAATCTCCAACCATCGATCCTCCCCACCAACTACATGTTCCACCACCAACAACACGCCGACCACGATCCAGGACTCCAAGATCACGTTCCCATCGACCTTCGGTACGTTCCCATCACCCTCGCTACTCTCCCCACCGTG